CACCGTCACTCTTCGGCGAGGTCTGTTTCAATGACAGGTTGATCGATGGCATGTTCAAAATGAACGCTAATGCTAGGTTATCGATTTATCGATTAGGGGGGGGGGCTAGTAGAGTCAGTAAAGCAAGATAGCAGAGCGACAAAGATGGAATTATGAACCGGGACCGTCCTTAATGACATCCAATGTCCCCAAGTGGGAATTTTCATCCGAATAAATGAAAAAAGATAGAAAGTGTTCAGAGTCAGAAAGAAGAAAGGGAGTTCAGAGATAAGTATCCACAATGGAATACGCCCCGTCACCTTGAATACGCCACGTACAGTACTCCCATTACCGATTGGCCATGGTTTCTTACTTACTTCACTTTGAATGTATACTTTACCAAAAACTGTTTTATTTGTAATTTATTTATTATGAACGCTAATTTTCAATACATTTATATTATGGCATTTTTTATTGCCTCTTCCGCAAATATGCTCTACATATATGGTGAAAAAAGTTTTGTGCGCCCTTTTTCAGTGGGTGGACGTGAATTTTTTTAGGAATTCGCCATTCCAAGCTTGTTTCAATTACGTCTTTCAAAAAAGCTCATTAAAATTCATGTTTTTTTTTCTCTGCGGGGGTGCGATTCTCTTATTGTGTCGTCCAATGAAAAGCGGGTCACCTCTTGAACATGAACGAACGGTTCAACTACCTACCGTCTATTGAAGATGGGAAAATAGAGGCTTATATTACTTGAAGGTCTACGTTCAGGAACATATAAAATAGAATGTAACAGTGGAAACACGTAATGAGCGTCTGGTAATGGTCACCATAGGAAAAGAAATGAATTTTAAATAGGTAGTGACAAAAATTCAAAAATTAAGGAGCTAAACAAGGGATCGAGTTAGGAATAAAAAGTCAGATCCAATTTGATCAAGAACTGATTGCCAATAGTAACCCATCACTTGGAAGAAATCCAAGAAAAAGGGAAGAATAGTGAACTCAGACGTAATGAACCAAGACCCTTTAGAAAAGCAACCCCTGTTCCCTTTAATGACCCCAATTGTGGACCGTGCGTTTTCTTAAGCTACTGTTCTCAGTCCTGCACATTGGGCTGATTGAACCAATCCATTGAGGGCTACGATTAAAATAATTACAGAAGGCACCATCAGGGCGCTTGACAATAATCAATCAATCAGGAGAGCGCCATGCAACCATCTGTCTCCTACAGTTGCAAACATATTTGGATGGTCTGCAACCTTACAAAACTTAAAGTTGAGCAGAACTCCTTCATAAAGGCTTCGTAAATGCCCAACACATTGAAAGAAAACATTGTATAAGCTAGTCCGAGGCAAAAACGGGATTGTGTACAAGAAACAAAACCAGAAATCCTGCTAGGGAATTCCACCAAGCAAATGATTCTACGATTGTTTAGTAGCTCATTCCCAAAGTCCATAGTAGAGGAAGATGAAAAAAAGATGGGGAGAAATCGATACTAGCGTATTTAATCGGAGTTTAAGCTTCTGTAAATATTGCCCTAAGACAATACAAACTGATAAGCAAAGATAACCCGGCAAAAAATCGGTTAATCAATGAATCATTTGTAAAGAATGCAATGAGTTGGCAATAACTAGTGTCCAGGGCTACTGAAATGGGTCAGTTGTGACAAAAAAAAAACTGGGTAATAAGTTGTAGGTACTATACAGTATTGATCTTATTGAGTTACCACCGATTTCCCCCTTCATGTATTGCATGGGCATCCGAGAGCGAATGCAAATTACGAATAAAATGACTAAGAAGGGCATGGCAAAGTCAGGACTTCTTCATATTCTCTGATAAGATGAATGCTAGCCCCCTTAGGAAGGCTGTATACAACCCTGATCTGGGAAAATGCTTGTATACCCAAAATCCGACCGGCACCTGGGACCACTGCGTCACCTCCGTTGTCCTTCTGACCCAATCCTAGAAATCTAAGCCCAAACTCTCACTTTCCTGTAAAAACAGCCCAGAATCTCCGGCCTCTGCCTTACCCCTACTTACTCAATCCGCTCGTTACTTGACTTGTACTATAGACTGTTGAGTCAGAGTCCCTGACCACTAAAAGGGCACCCTGGGTTGCAAAAACACACTAACAAGCAGCTACATGAAGAAAAACTTCCAAAAAAGAGCAGAAAAGCGAAAAAAAGAAAAAATCAAAAAAAAAAGACGAAAAATTGAGTAAATCGATGATCGAATAATTACTCGCCTCAGTTTCAGATTTTCAACGATGCTTGGCAGATCGAGTGTAGACAGGAGCACGAGGTCTTCGACCCCGTACTCCTTGGGATCGTGCTCGGCTACCGCCATGTGCTTAAAACGAAACGATTTGGAGATTATCGATTAAAATTTCGATTGGGATCATCCTAAATTCCATGACGTGGATCACAAGAAGCGAAAATCGATAATTGATAGGAATCGATCGGGTTGAACAAATGGAGTAAGCATTGCTTAGCCTATGTATTGACGAAAAGACGGAAAACGCGATTGATTGAAGTGCTCAGAGATAAGGCTACATTGCTGGGAAGAAGCGTTTTACGACGACATTTATGCAGAGCGAATCCTGTGAATTGTCAAATGTTACCCCACGTTTTTCTGATCAAAACTATTGAACACTATCGATTGCGATGGGAATCTAAGAGGTCTTGAAAGCAACCGGGCAACTCGCTCCAGGAGATTTTAAATTGAAAACATGGAAAAAACAAAATCGGGCAAAATGATAGGGAGAACATGCCACGGGAACCGGCTCATGCTACGATGAAAATGTTATGCAAAAGAGACGCGACAACGAATACAATTCCGTTTTGGTTTCTCCGGCTCATTCTCACCCTCCGTTCCCCCCTCCCACCCAGCCTTTGCTGATGACGCTCCACGAAAACATAGAAGTCTACCACGAGGCTAGTTAGGCACGTAAGCAAGTTCTGAGCCTGGTAGAGTGGGTGATCTGTGAACTTTGAAGATTCTCCCATGAGAGGAAACTCACCACAACCTCCAGGAGGTGACCGCTAATATCGAAGGTCTGCTGTCAATAAGCTTCTCGAACTTGATCACTGACTGTAATGAAGCGCTGTTTGCTCAATTTTCATGTAATGCTCGAAGAAAATGGCAAAAATCCGGTATTCAATCCGGTCTCCATGGGGAACCTGCTCATTTCAATGAAACTGTTCATTTTTCCGGCAAGTATGGCAAGTCCCAGGGCTCTACCCAGAGGTGGAACACCTTTGAACTTGGCACTTTCCAGAGTTTTTCAAAATTTCTATCAGAGCAAGCAACCCTCTACAATGTTGGATCCCACAAAGGAACGTTCCCTCTTCAGAACTTCGTTTGTAGTTTGGCAGAAATATTTTGTTGACGACCAACTGCACCGAGGCTGATAAACAGCTTGAATGGCTAACGATTTGGCAGATTCGCCTTCTTCGGAATCTGTCAGGATGGAATAGACTCATAGAATCGTGGGCAGTTGAATACGACATCATTACGGTAGAATACCGAGAATCGAGCAAGGAATTGAACAAGATAGTCCCGAAAACCATGGACTCATGAATAAATAATATGGTAATTCAAAAACCTAATCTGAAAATCAAATAGACGGTCCTTTTTTGCAATACGTAGGAAAAAAATGACGTTGCCGTGAAGCGAATGGTGAAAGTGAAAGGCATCCCACTGCTTAGTCACAATGGGAGGGTCCATAAGAAAGGTGACTACCAAGGGGGCGGGCAGCGTCGGAGGGAGGACGCCCCTGCCTCCGCCACCAAGGGCACGTTAGAAAAGCACATCACAAAACATTGGCGCCGAAGCTGTAGGTCGGCCAATTTGAAAGTGAAGGATGGGAATAGTAACGGTGGTCAGAGATCAAGCCGAAATCTGAAGAGGAACGAGAAAACTCCGACAAAAGGTTAAAAAGAGTAAAGAGAAGGTAGAGAGTGACTCGAAAAATGTTGAAGAATATAAAGTCCTAAAAGTCTTCGACTTCGATCAATCCCTTTTCTGGGATACGAATCGCATTCGACTTCCATTCAGAATCGTAGTGGTGGTTCGAAAGTTTATGAGGCCTATACAATGAATTGCGGTGGCTTGCAGATGTACAAGTAAGTGCTTTTATTCTCCCAGAGGAGTCTTCTAGCAATTAACAGACCACGGAGGTATGGAAGGCTTGATTGGCCTGGACGAGTACTGATCCGGGATACGAACATACGAACGGGTGACCGTACGTGTGCGATAATAGCGCCACCTGTCACTGCACCACATTCGACCGTCAAAGAAATCTATTAAATGAACTTGTTTTGAAACAATCTAGTGAAATCCAGAGAGTTGAAGTAGCGAAGCATACGAAGGCATGAAGCGAAGTAACATGAGGGGCAAGAAAGACTCCTTGAAATTGAACAATTCTCTCCTGTTCAACCTCGGAGCGCAACCACTCGTCCGTTAAGAACAAAACCCTTTTCGAAGATGGTCCATGAAAAAAACAATGATTGAACAAACGGCGCCAGATGTCCTTGGAAGAGGACGAATTTTTCTTAGACCTTTCTTTTCATACCAAAAACTCGTGTCGTCCAGGCCCTAGTGTGAATACAAGGACGGCATCTGCACCTGGTAGGGTAAGCGCGTAAGCGCAGCCCGTTTTTCAGAGACATCTTCCACAAGGCTGAGTAGTCTGCTAGATCGAGTCTCATTTTGAAAGGGTAAACTTGTAAGGTCGTAATGAGTAACATAATGGAANGGCACCATCAGGGCGCTTGACAATAATCAATCAATCAGGAGAGCGCCATGCAACCATCCATCACCTACAATTGCGAACATAATTGGATGGTTTGTAACCTTACAAAACTTAAAGTTGAGCAGAATTCCTTTATAAAGGCTTCGTAAATGCCCACCACATTGAAAGAAAACATGGTATAAGCTAGTCCGAGGCAAAAACGAGATTGTGTACAAGAAACAAAACCAGAAATCCTGCTAGGGGATTCAACCAAGCAAGTGATTCTACGAAGGTTCAGTAGCTCATTCTCAAAGTCCATAGTAGAGGAAGATGAAAAAAAAGATGGGGAGAAATCGATACTAGCGTATTTAA